TTTTGTAGGGGCTGCACCACCAATCTCCAGGGAAGTTTTCTGGAGTGCCAGCGTGTCCACGTGCTTGCATATATCCATTATTTGACCCCCATTCCTTAGGAACCGGGAATAAGCAACCAACTTCAGCCTCATGACAATGCAACGGGATTGCTGGCTTGGGCAGACTTTCCGCATGCCTAGAGCTACCGCTGGATGTGAGGTCAGGAGGGAATTGCACCCCTTGCTCAGACTGGGGGGGAATGTGGAGACTGTTGCTTAACCCTGCCCCTCCAGGCTCCCTTAGGGCACATGAAGCAGCCAGGCCCCCGCGCGATGCATTGTGGGCCACGCCCCTCCTTGGCGCCAAGCTCCCCCGCCCTTTGCCCGTGCGGTGCATTATGGCCCCCGCCCCCCGGAGCCAAGCCGGATCTTCTTCGCCGGGCCTGCTCACCGGATGTGACGGCTCCGGTCTCGCGGAGAGGCAAAGGAGGGCTTTTCCCGCCCGAACGCCCACTCTAGACCGCAGAAGCTGCGGCGTGGGGCGCTCCGCCGTGGTCGGCGGTAGCATTTGTCGAGGCAAAGCGATTGAAGGTGGGGACTATTTTTCCTGCAGGGGGCGCATGCGTGGTGAGAGCGGAGCGATACCGTGACGCTCACCGAACTGTGTGGTGGTGTTGTGCGGCCGGCGGCGCGATCCTTACGCGCAGCGGCACCGCGAGGGAGAGGCAGGCGCCATTTTGCAGCCGTGTTTGCAGCCGTCGCGCGCTCGCTCCTCTCGTCCGCTCCGTGCCCGGCGCTCGCCCGCTCGCTCCCCCTCTCTCTCTCTCTGCGCTCCGGCCCGCGCCCGCCGCAGCCATTGCTGACCTTGCTATGTCCGGAGGCGGCGTGATCCGCGGCCCCGCCGGCAACAACGACTGCCGCATTTATGTGGGCAACCTGCCGCCCGACATCCGCACCAAGGACATCGAGGACGTCTTCTACAAGTACGGCGCCATCCGCGACATCGACCTCAAGAACCGCCGCGGCGGCCCGCCCTTCGCCTTCGTCGAGTTCGAGGAC